GTTGCTTTGGATAAAAGCATCTGCTAAATGACTAAATGTAAATGTATGTTTTATTCAAACTGAAGAAATATTTTTTTAATATATAGAATTAAAACGGCTTGGTATATTTTGTGGGTTATCTGAAATAAATGGAATAAGTATTTAGTACATGGCACCAAAAGAACATTGAAGGTCTAAGCATGTATTTATTACGTTTGTATTCAACTATTTACATTTTTTCTTTCTTTCTTTTTTCTTCCTTCCTTTCTTTGGTTATTTATTTTTTATTCTTTTAGTTAAGAATTTATGTATTTAATTAATGATAATAATATTTGTATTTTTATAATATTTATATAATATTGCATAATTTTTATGTATAGTTAATCATTTATACATGTAATTAATACTCATTAATGTTGATTTATTCTTTATTGAACTGCTTATTATATCAGCTCTTCTATCTATTTGTTCTATTCAAAGTTTTTCCTTTTATTAGAAATATTTGCACTTGGCCAAAAAGCTCTCTGATTGGTCAGTGGAGCGGGGCGTGACTGCGACGTCATTTCCGGTTTCACCAAATCGCTTGGGAAAGATGGCGACCGTCATCACTGTGCGGGCTCCATTCGCGTTTCTGAGACGCCTGGTATGTTTTCACCTTTTATTTTGCATGCATCTTACAATTGCAACGACTTACGAAGTTCACAAGTGACATTTAGAGGCCGTTTTGGTGCGAATCAGCGTTTGTAAGCGACTTCAAAACGGAAGGACTTGAGCAACTAGCAGCCTGCAGCTATCAACACCTGAAGAAGCACTGGACCTGCATGATGTGTGTGGATAGTTGCCAATATGTAAACACCAAGAAAATTGTTAAAACGCAAGCATCGAAACTCCAAAAGTATGAGAGTCTAATTGTCTAGTGTAAATACTATGAGGCTAGCGTAAATGTCTACATTTGATTAATAATTAGTTAATAAATGGTATGTATTGATATTTATAAAATATGTAAAATGTAGAAAGTATATATTTGTAGTTTAAAATGTATACAAATGTAGTTTCCTGTAGTCTATATAATTTATAAACATTTTATGTTTACATAGCATTTTGTCTATCTATCTGTCTAGATAGATGTGTATAATTTAATATTATAATTAAGAAACTAGTATTTATTTATATTTATTAGTTAAGTGTGTGTATGAGACCACTAGTGTAAATGTATGCATTTTATTAATAATAACATTTTAATTAAGAAATAGTATTTACTGATATTTATTAAATAATTAATTTGCATATATTTGTGATTATGTGAAATAAATTCTTCTTCTTATTGTAACTAGTTATACACAGCCTTTCCAAGACATTATTCTGGTCATCCGCAGTAATTATTTTCATTCAAACACTATTTTTGTCTCTTTTTTTTTTTGTATAGAATGCTGTAATTTAGCGCATATGCCGTGCCATTGAGTTTAAATGCTGCAAACATCGAAAGACTGACTCATGTTTTTGTTGTGTGTCATGTGTTTTTTAGGCCTCTGCTCGCCTGCACAGACACTGCTGCTCGACGGTCCAAACAGCTTGCTTTGTATCCCAACCCCACTCATATTCCCTCATCGCTGGACAACAGCATCGGTTCTTTCACACAAGCTATGGTGAGTTTTAACATTTGTTATGAACATCTCTATGTTCTTAATTAGAAGAATGTATTTATAATCACTTTATGCTGCTTATTGCAGTTGCAGCAAGACCAATTTTGCAGTTCAAGCTCTCAGATATTGGAGAGGGCATTATGGAGGTGACAGTTAAAGAATGGTAAGTTTTGTCTTTTTTTGACACTTACAAATATCTACCAGCAGAGGTCGCCATTGTCTGTCTATCATCATCAGGTATGTGAAAGAAGGCGACAAAGTGTCTCAGTTCGACAGCATCTGTGAAGTCCAGAGTGACAAAGCATCTGTGACCATCACCAGCCGTTATGATGGAATCATTCGTAAACTCTACCATGATGTCGATTCCATTGCCCTTGTAGGCAAACCTCTCATTGACATTGAAACGGACACAGGTCAAGGTAAGTATTGAGAGTAGTTATATAAGTATAAGGACTTGACCTTTAGTATTGAGTCATTCAGTGTTTCACTGGCTCTTGTAGTGGAGGGTCCCCAGGAGGATGTGGTGGAGACGCCCGCCATGTCTCAAGAGGAGCACACGCACCAGGAGATCAAAGGTCACAAGACTCAGGCCACCCCTGCCGTCAGACGCTTAGCCATGGAGAACAATGTATGTTTCGGATTTGTCTTACACATAGCTGTAAAGTTAAAAAGATAATTGTGTGTATACTGTATATATATATATATATATATATATATATATATGTGTGTGTGTGTGTGTGTGTGTGTGTGTAAACACCAGATGCGTTTCAACACACATACTGTATATATATACACACACACACAGTAGTCAACATTTGAAGTGGATCAAAACCTTTCATCAAAGTTGTCCTAAAACCAAAACAATACCTGTTCTTGTCTTAGGACAACTTTGATTAACTTTTTTT